CCCCCGCCCCAGGACAGCTCAGATGCCTTCTGGCTGTTCTCTTATGGCCGCTTTGGAAGCTCTAAGCAACCCCAGTGGCGTCCCCTCCCCCAGACCCCAGCTTCCTTCTCTCCCCACCCCCCCCACCCCAGGCACCTCATTTTGCTTCCCAGTAAGCGGATGAGGCTAAGGAAGCCTCCCACTTCCTGTTATTAAAGCTAGCCCGGCCCAGCTGACACCAAATGCCCTCCGCTGGACACGGCTGGCCGGCCAGCCGCCATCAGGAAGAGGCTTGCTCAGGTCACCCCTACTCTGCCACAAAAGGCTGGGCAGAAGCACTGGGGTACCAGGCCCGGGGAGGAAGGGGTGTACGCTTGTCCTGAGCCTGTGTCCCTTTCCCCAGAGCCTCAGGAACCCCACAGGCCAGGGGAGATGGCCGAACTGCTTTCAGTTGGCCAAGAAGCCAGCTGAGGCTTGGAACCCTAACTGTTCTCAGCCTTCCCCGACTTTCTCCACATATCACCCCCCAACCCTGCCCCTGACTCTAAGCAAGGCCCACAAACTGCTAAGTCTAGCTGGGGTCCTACAGAGAGAGAGGGGGATGGGGGGGGCTACCTATTCCCATCGATGCCCACTGGGGTTTTATTTCTAGCAACTTCCCTCAGCTATAAAATGAAGCCCCAAGCCAGGCAACGGTGGCTCATGCCTGTCATCCTAGCTACTCAGGAGGCTGAGATCTGAGGACCACAGTTCCAAGCCAGCCAGGGCAGGAAAAGTCCATGAGACTCTGATCTCCAATGAACCACTCAGAAAACTGGAAGTGGCGCCGTGGCTCAAGAGGTAGAGCGCTCGCCTTGAGCTGAAGAGCTGAGGGACAGCGCCCAGGCCCTGAGTTCAAGTCCTACGACCGACCCAAATCAATCAATAAGATAAAATGAAGCCCCAAAGAGAGATACCACGCCAGCCCCCATCCTGCAGAAAGACACATACACATACATCCACGGAGGCGTGATGCGCACTGCAACCAAGCAAGCAAACGAACGAGACCCGTGTGAAGTCCCCCCCACCTCCCCACCACCCCCAAACAGTAACAAAGCCAGGAAAAAACAAAAACAAAAACAGAAGCTGGACCACTGAGCGGCCATGAGGCATCTCCCCACAGCTGGAAGGTGGGGATCCCAAGGCTGCTTATGGGGAAAAGTGGGGAGAGGGGGGTCTGGTCAGGCCCCAACAGGTAGAGGCCTGAGGGCTTGTGAGTCACAAGAAGCGCACACCCACCCACGGGGGCGCGTGCTAGCACATGCCAGGTGCACACAGGTCTAGACAGGCCCGCAGGTAACCCAGATGGGCAGGGGTGACACCCAGCAACTCTGCACACACCTTGATGCCCACCCACCCACCCAGCCAGCCAGCCCAGGCACACCCCGCAGACAACCTACCAATGAAGCTGATGGCCTCGGGGAAGAATTGGGAGAGATTCTGGCTCCAATGGTCAGAGATGGGAATCTGCTTGTAGGTGAACTCGCCGCCATGTTCGAAGGCGTTGGGGAGATTGGGGGTGACGTTGAGGATGTACTTGATGCCGTATTTGCCTAGCACGTCCAGGTTGGTGGAGTCCTTAGCGCAGCCAAGGTAGAGGTAGGGCAGGATCTGGACCGGGAAGGCCGGCTGGCTGGAGGGCACGGGGCTGCCGTCCGACTCGGTGGCACTGCTGGGCAGCTCTCGGTCTGACTCGCCGTCCGAGCAGTCTGAGCTGATCCGGAGGCCCCCCAGCCCCAGCACCGAGGTGGGCGGTGAGCCGCTGGGCGACGATGAACTGTCCACGTTGGTCTCGCAGTGCTCCGAGTACTCGTTCTGGAACTTGTTAAAACCACCTGTGGCCAGGGGAAAAAAGATGGATGGGTCCCCGGCGGGGGGGAAGAGGCCTGGTCCAAGTCTAACTTAGGATGGGTGACATGAGGTTACCTGGGGCCAGCGATCTCCTGTAGAAACCACCCCCCACCCTGCCCCTCCCCACGACCAGAGCCAACCAACGGGGGGGGGAGGCCTTCTCAGTGTGTTCTGTCCATCAAAACCGTGCCCACATCCAGATGAGGAAACCGAGGCTTGAAGCCCGGTGCCTCGCTCCCATTGCCACAAAGGCCCGGCTTCAGGGCGTTTGAGGACAGGGCCCAGCTCTCTCTCTCTCTCTCTCATTCTCTCTCTCTCTCTCTCACACACACACACTCAACACCTGGCAGCCTGCAAAGGCCTCTTCCAGATGAGACACATCTGGATCAATCCGGGAAGGACTGGGGGGTGGGGGCATGCCCCTAGCACACCCCTGAGAAGGTGGGGGGGGGTGGAGGAAGGGATCATCTGCTTCCTTTCTCCGGAGCAGCAGTGGGTTTGTGACACTCATCCCACAGCTCCAAATTCTTCACACTCCCTCACCCTCCAGCCCCAGTGTTGGACACTTAGAGGAGGCTGGCCATGGCCCAGAGTGTGTGTGCGGGGGGGGGGGGGACAGAGAAGATGGGGAGCGCCCCGGCTAGGCACGGGCCCTGGCGGCTCCCCCCTTGCTCCTGCCTGCCCTGCTTGGCTGCTGCTAGCGAGAGGCCATTTTGGAATGTTAATTGGAAACACCGGCCGTAGCCACCCGTGCCCCCCCCCATTCCCGGTCTGTTGCCTCTCCCCCCCCCCAACCCCTCTCCAATCCTCTTTTCCACAAGCTCTAGAGCAGCTGAGAATCTGAAGGCCCTGAGGAAACCTGGGCCCGAAGCGACAAGGGGGGGGGGCCCACTGGGGCACTGTCTAGATCCTTCTCAAGTGCCACTAAACAGGAGCAATCCCTGGGGCTGTACGGGGACGACACAGGCATTGGGGATGATGGGGGGGCACCACCACCTTTTAGGGGACACCACTTCCAGATTAGACTTTTTTTGGGGGGGGAGGAGGAGGAGGACGGGGATGAAGGGAGGTCCCTGATGGTTGGGGAAGGTTTACAAGAAGAGGCCTTTCCCCCCCCCACCCCCTTTACCTCTCTCCCTCTTTAGAAGAGAGAGAGAGAGAGAGAGAGAGGAGGGGAGGGGAAGGAAAACCCTGCAGGGGAGAGGGAGGAGGAGGAAGAGGAAGAGAGGGAAGGCGGATGCCCAGCCAAAGGGGCGACGTGGCCTGGTGGTGGTGGTGATGGGGGGGGAGTGATTGGGGGAGGGGGCTTGGCCTTGAGCACTGGGGAAGCCTCCA